CTTTAATGAATTGGGTTCTGTCCTCATATATAAAACCAGTTCACAAGAGAATGGCCTTTGTATTTTCTATGTTTGGGAGTCATTAGTTAGCTTACCATGTTTGCAAAGTAAGAAGTGAAGCTACCACAAAGTCTCGCCTCTCCTGTGGCACTACTTGAATTCGTAACTGGTGTTTTTTGACAATCATCTCCTCCTGAATCCAGATAAGACAAAGCTTATGATATATGGAAGTCGTCAGCTTCTCTGCAAACTCCCTGACATCCGTCTTTTGTTAATGGGGAAGGGATTCTTACCCGCAAAAGTTGTCAAAGACCTCGACATTACATTTGACCTGAACCTCACGTTTTCTGATCACATCCTTAAAATTGTTTCGTCCTGCATGTCTAGCCTAGCCCAAATTAGTCGTGTTGAGCATGTGTTTGATAAAAACACTCTAATCATTATAATCAACGCCTTAGTTTTCCGCAAATTGTTTTATTGTTCATCAGTCTGGTCAAATGCAGCAACTACCAACCTCCTCACACTTCAAGCAGTGCAGAACTTCGCTGCCCGAATAATTAGTAATACCAGAAAGTTCAATCACGTGACCCCAGTCCTAAAAGAGTTATGCTGGCTGCCAGTTAAATCACAACTGTATTATCCTGATGCTGTGCCTGCTTTTAAATGCATGACTGGACAAGCTCCCACTTACCTTCCGTCCCTCTCTTTAAAGCGAGCAGAGATAAGTGGCCGTGAGACTCCAAATTCGAAACTTTTAAACATTCCTATTTTTAAGACCTCTACAGGATAAAGGACTTTCTACTATTGAACAGTGTCATTATGGAATAGTTTAGAAAGAAATCTTAAGCTAAGCAAATCTCTGAATATTTTTAAACAAAGATTACAAGGTAAACTCTTACATGAATTTTTATTTTCATAATACAATATTGTCATACAATTCTCCCTTATTTCATATCATTTTCATAATTCCTTGGTACGTTGATTRATTTCATTTTAATTTTAATGTAACTTATTTAGTAGTGTTAGTACTGAAAAGCCCCCATGGGGAGTGCTAATAAAATTTATATTGTATTGTATTGTATTAGTACTCTGCACTATACTATGCATTTACTGATAACTGATAAAGTTAAATGATACAACACATAAATTACAGTTAGGTTTTACATACAATGGGCTCAGTTATAACCATCTGTTTACTTTAGGTTCAGGGATCAGTACCCCTGGATAACTGCAGGTATGGAATTATCGGATCTGTAAACAGCTTCTCATTTAGCAAATAATTTCGCACTTGTTTAACCCATTAATTTCAGTCAGTAAAACACCCCAGGGTGAGGCCTGTTCTAAATTTCAGTTACATTTGAGATGTTTCTCCTCTTCCATGTCATTGCTATTCCCAAAAAAGACAAAGTTAATATTACAGCACGATACCTCAAAACTGAAAAAGTGTGACCACTTTTAATTCATTCATATTTGTTTATTTGTTTGAGTGCAGTCATTATCTAATCAAAAGCTGAGAACAGCTCTCACTTGGCTTCTGATTGGATATAAGTCTACACAAAATAATGTAACACATATTAACAAATTTTGTTTCAGTTTACAGTTCTTACTGCAAGTAGTGAATCGTATGCAAGTTCTATAGTAAATGTTTTCCAAGTAACAGATTTGTTTGCAAGTTCATATTTTGTCATGATCATTGGCTGTAAGGGGCCGTTTACATGGAGGAGGGTGCCTCGGGGGGATAGGGGCACCCTATGTAGTAGGGTTTCCCTTCT